TATAATGTCACCATACATTATAATTATAATTGCATTATCCTGATCATAATAATCATATTCTTTATCTGTTTCATCTATACCTCATTGTTTACCCCTTTTTATATTAAATTTTACACATAAAATTCAGGACTTTGTCTGTGTGTTTTCTTGTTTAACATTTCCAGAACTTACTTCTTTCAAGATATGAAACTGACTGATTAATTAATTAACTTAAACCATTAAAGCTATTTTCTTCCTTTCACAGGAAGTGGTGCCCCTTCTTAAATACGAGGTTAAATAAAGATATAACATCTTAATAATTTAATTATGCTACATTTGATATTTTGGCCATACAACTGCACAACAGTGAGAGCACAGCTTCATGTAAGAAACTTTGGCAGTGTATATCTGCAGACCTCTAGCTGACGGTATATTTGTCATGATTGAGTATGGACTGTAAATATGGACGAAGCCCAAGTGACGTCACTCATCTGTTACAGCAGGGCGCTTTGGAGTCTTATGGACGGCAGTAGACATGCTGGAAATGCTGTCTCACCCAAACTTTAAGTCGACCTAATGACAGTCTGAGAGCTGGAGCAGAGGCGGGTTTTAAACCTCCTGGTTTTAAACGACAAACCATTGTGCCCACCTGTCAGTCAGGTTAGTTATGCGCCTTTTGTGAATAACGCATAAAATCAAAACGGATGAGTTTTCAAATAGTGAGTGCCATTGAGGCATGAGCTAATCAGAGCAATTTCTTTTTTTTTTAACCAGACTACAAACATGTCAATTTCTGCCGTAAAAAGTGGAATATTTTTGAATGGGTGTATGACTTTCGATGCTGCAACCAGCTTCAATCGGACACTAAATTAACTACTACAGGATTGCTGCTTGTGATTCAGCTGTTATGTTTTCAGCTGTTGTGTTTTCTTATGTTATGTTTTCTTTCTAGCTGTGTGTGAGAGAGAGTAAGCGTTCTTGCTGGTATGTATTTGAGTCGTATGAGACAACTGAAGTACACATAGATCTGACTTTAACCTCTGCAGTGTGAATACTCTGTCCTGCTTGTACGCCACAGTGTGAGCCCTCAGGGCTGGCCCGACTATCATGACTTTCATCACGACTTTTCTACAATCGTACAGTGTACACCAGGCATTAAGCCAAGTTCAGAAATTGTCAACAACAACAACAACAACAGTCCTAATAGATGCAGCGTGTACAGACCCGACACATTGGGTCCTTGGTTGAGCCAGAGACTAGTGGGGAGCGAGAGAAACACATAGAGACATTCTGTTCATTTACTTGAAGATGATGAAGTTCAAATCAAATTAAAGGATACAATTAGTGCTTCCTGTTTGTTACTCAGCAGCAGCAGTTTGAGCACACAAAGGGCTCTACATGTATGTTAGAGCCATGGATTGATATAATTGTCTTTGTGGTATTTATTTAAGGCTGTTATATATTGGTGTTTTGGGTTATTGATTATTATATCATTTATTAGGATTGTGTTGAGTGGGGGATGTCAGGTCACATGGGTATGGGCGGAGATGTGTTGATTTAACTCACCTGTTCACCTTTTGTTCTCAGTGGAAGAGTGAGCTGGGTTGCCATATTTTTTGTTGACCGCTATTGTTTCTGGTTCACTGTGATTATGAGTCAATGCACGTTATTATAAGTTAAGTTGATTATCTTTTTTACGTTCATAAAAAAGTCAAACTTATTTTTACGTATCGAAGTATTCTCTTGAAAGCGTGTCGGACAAACATATTAGGTCCAACCTTAGCCTCTCAGCGGCTTTAGTCAGCAGCAGAGGGGGTCTGTGTGCCTGCCACAAAAAATCGTATTCATTGAGTGACTTTTGCTCTGCAGCCATTAGGAAAAATTTTGTTAAAGCAAGTGGAATCTATGCATGGTGAATGGAGCTATATCATGTGTGACCATGAGTCTTCTCTTTGGCTTTTTATTACCCACCACTATGGTTATATATTATCTCTATAGGCAAGGTAACACTTTACTTTTTATACCCTCAATGGTCAGGAAAGGTTATCTTAAATAATATTTTACATCTGACTGGATATTATGGCTTGCTTAAAGCTAGAGAAAATGAGATTCTCACTCCAACATTCAAATGCACAGTTTATTGAAATCTGGGGACCTTTTCTGAACTCTGTACACAACCTTTAAAACCATGATCCAGATGCAGCTTGATCATCTCTCTCTTCCAGATGCACAACTAGGTCTTTAATGGGACTGGGGAAATTATCTCACGGCAACACTGGCAGTGACAGTGTAGGGATTGTTTTATAATGGATATTTTTTTTTTTTAATTATTATTATTTATAATTATTGTTTTGTTTTTTGTTTACATTGTTATTTTCATTAACCCAAAAAGTAAAATGGTAACGCAGGCTGTTGTTGTAGGTCCATGCTTTACTTATTTACCATGTGCAGTTAATAGCTTTATTTTTGTGCGTGTCTCTTACTCTTCCTATGTAGTTGTGACTGTTAACTACGTTTGGTGTTTATTTGTAACATCCTCTAATATCAGTGACTGATCAGCACTGCGCTTCATGTACACCATGTTTGTATTTCAATAAAGATTTTGACAAAAAAAAAAACTGACTGTATTTGAATAATTCCAGAAACTGTAGGCTAGTTGATCGAAGTAGAAGGTCCAATAATGTTATAAATGAGTATAAACACATTTTGTCTATATCAGTGTCACACCTATTTTGAAGGGAAAATATCACCTTAGGTCCATGGTACAAAAATGAAGTCACAATCATTGGATTGAACACATTCAGGAAAAAAAGCAGACTCAGATGTGAAGGAGTAAAGCAAATCTTGTTGTCACTGTTACTGCCTGCAAGAGGTAGTCCAACATTAAACCCACATACAACCACACATTGTCTTTGTCAAATAGTTAGCTAGCTTCAGGGCAGGGGTGCCAATAAGAACTTTGGTGATGGTTTGGCAGAGTCAGGCAAGCAGTTTCTTAATTTGCACTTTTTATGCTAATCGTTTGGGACTAAGCTAATCTGTTGCTGTTGCCTTACATTAGGCCTAAACATTGCTTTTTAAGAATTGAGCTATTCAGACTCTCACCCCATCTTATTTAAAATATTTCCTTCGAACATTTTGTCAATATGAGAAAACTGTTTGACAGAGGTCACAATGAGGTTTTTGAAATTGTTTTTACAAAACCCAAAGATGTTCACTGTAAAACTACTGTAAAAGATCGGCTATCCTCCAAAGAGTCTCTGAGTCATACATTTATTTCTTTATGTGTCCATATGGTCAAATCAAACGACTACAGGCTACTAATGTAGGCTATACATTTTATTTATCAGAATCAGATTTATTGACCAGGTATGTTTACACACACAAAGAATTTAACTTTGGTGAACTGTGCTCTTAATTGTGCAAAAGATGCTAAGTAACATGATATTAAGTAAAATGCAGTTATGTGACAGATTGGTCAATTAAGATGTCAATTACAGTATTTACATAAATAAGTGTGCGTATATTATCATTTAAATTAAATAATATATATATACATATATGTATATTCACAGTGATGGTTTGGTTTAGAGTCATTTCACAGAGACAGGTCTGACACTGTGTTATTTAAAACGACTAAATCTAAAAGTATCTCCATTGGGCCGTACCCCCGTGTTTAACACACACAGGCGGAGCTGTATGTTTCATAACAGTGGGTGGAAATACCTCTGCTTCCTGCGTGGATTCCCGCGAGTTCCTTCAGTGTGAGACCCGTCTCCGTGGATACCACGACTCATTGCTCACGTGAGGTCAGACGGCTTGAATAGCACGTGGAAAAAAGCGCTCGCAGATTTGACAAACTTTGTGTCTATGTTATGGCGGTTCACGTGGACTGGGAGCCGTGGGCTTGGCAGGGGTGTGACCGAGAAAAACAATTGGACAGTGGAAGCATAGCTGGTTTTGTGTCTGTGGGAACTTAAATAACCTTAGAGCTGTACATTAGATAAAACACCTTTTATGACCGCATTCAACAATAAAGAACATTTTATGTCAAGCCAGGCTACAGTAACAAACTGAATGAACTAGGGTAGGAGGAAAGGCCATAGAAACTTACAAGTTCCAGAAGTCACAAGTAATAGACTATACAATCACAAACATTCACTTTATCAGCAGCAGAGGGCACCTTTATCTGGACGTCTTCTCCCTTAATTACACAAGAGACATTTTTAACCAACCAGAATGCATCACGACCACACACAGGAAAAGAGGGGAAACTGTGAACCTGACAGCTATGTTCTCTGACTTTCCTTTAAGTAAAGGTATGTAGTTGGTGGGAAACATCCATCAATCAATTCTTTAACACTGAATTTTTTTTATTTATTTTTTTACATTTCTGTAAGTTCATTGATTAAATTTTGCTGGAAGGTCTTGACATCTCGTCAGTCTGAAAAATCGATTTTTAGAAACAAATCTCTCCATCTACTTCTGTTGCGAGGCTTTCTAGGATTACTTTAAAGCTTAATCAGTTTCAAATAATCTAAACTTTAATATTTATTTATACTGTTTGACTAAGTTGTGACTGCCACCAGTAAAAAAATGTATATACACAAACACACACGTATCCACACACATAAGATCTAAACTGTCATGTGAATAAAGTCAAAGCTCATTTTCTAGTAACGTTTGTATTGCATTGCAGTTAATCATGTTGACTTGTACACATGGCAACGTCTCAGCAGCACCACCAAGTGTCACTGATGCTGATCATTACCCAGATCTGACCAAAGAAATACGTTACCTATTTTAACACAAATCTACTGTCCACAGAAGTTTAACATGCTGCTTCAAGCCGAATCAATGTGTCAATCGATCAACTTCTATTTACATTATTTCAATGTGACAATGACTTCATCTTGATCAAACTCTGAGGTGGCGTGCTCAAACAGTGGGTGCCCATGAGATTAAAAAAAAAAAAAAGTGTACTACCACTACCTTATATATATAAAAAAGAAACATGGGTCTTGTCTTGATCAACCAGTATTTTAATAGAGACCATTTTACAGAGTATCAAACAAAGAAAAAAAAAGAAAAACTTCAAAGACAAAAATATCATTTGTGTTGACTACACCTTCTTTTAACTCAATGCTCATTAAAGTTTTGCATCTTGAATTAGGGGTGCATTTATCACAACCAACCAACAAACTGACAGAAACCTTCAGTATGAAGTAAGAAAGTAGCACATTGAAAAACGGTTGGATTTATAGACAATCAAATAGGAGGGACTCGTTGTAAATCATCCCAACCCTTTAAAAATAAATTTTAAAAAATTTGCTGGCGTTTACACAATGGAAAAAAAACGAGGTACTAACACTAAGTGAAACTACACAGTACATTCATTGACAAAACAAAAACCCTCTTTCGAGATTAACTGGTGAACTGGAATGCTGGGTGGCACAACTGTTTCAGGACAGATGAGATGGATGTGACTTCACACCTGTACACACCCACTTGATGTGTTTGAAAATGTTCTATAAACAAGAGAGGGGGAGAGGGACTAAAATGCTTGATAGTTTAAAAAAAAAAAAAAAAAAAAAACTCAACACAAAAATGACCACATTGGTCACGTTTAAATCATCCATCACATGAAACGGCCATGCATGTAAAACCGTTCATCTCAGCTCCCTTTACTCCTGACAGACGCTGCTCTACTTCCTGTCTGCAGACCTGGAGCGGCTGTGGGGAAGGAAGAGACATTTTTGTAGTTATCAGAGGGGGGGGGGCGCGCGCGCACACACACACAGGATGCTTTGAATTTCCCTCGGGATCAAGTATCTAACAGACGTTTTACACGTTTTTACAGTATAGGCTAGAGTCAGATGGTTTCAGCCTTTTATTTGGTTTCTTTTTATTGGTATTATTACAACTTTGGATTGTAATATTATATAATTTTGTTTAACTATTCTTGCTAGGTATTTGTATTATATGTCTTCTTTTTGTTGCTGTTTTCAGATTGTACAATGTAAAAGATTTTTTGAAACACACACACGCAGTGTCCTCGCGTCACAGGCTGATTTAATTTACATTAAAATAACATGTTACAACACAAAGACTGATGTTAAAAAGATATCAGTACCTCCTTGATCGTGAAAAAGACCTTGAAGGTTTATGGTTCCTGTCCCGAGACAGGGACCTCTCCCTCCTCCTGTCTCTGGAGAAAGACCTGTAAAAGAACAACCACAGTATTTAAATGATGATGGATGCAGGACTACTAGAATATGGCTAGGATAACCAGTACAGATTTAGGATACAGGCTGTGGTCTGCCATGTACCTAAGCTTGTAAGTGAGTTCAGTTGAGCTTAGTAGAGACTAGACCAGTTGTAGCCAATTGAGGATGTTAGGATTTATATTGTGTTCAGCAATGTCTACAACGTGCAGTTTCTGTACAGCTGTGTCGTTCTTTTAGTTGCATCTGTTTTCACGTTCGGGAGTTTGCGCTCCTACTAGCTACAGTACGGTAGTCGAGCTCTCAGCCTGCAGGGAAAGTTGGCAGAGGCACAGACCTGCTAGCTTGCAAGTCACGCTGCCTGACTCCGCTGGTCAATCTTTAACACTCTTTCAATCAAAAGAACACTCCACAAGGTTTATTTACGGAACAATATACCACTGTTTTAATGCATGATTATGACCTCGTGAGGAAGAAAAGATGTGGAAAAAGTTGTGCAGCCAGCCTGGTCTGTGTTGCCCTGTGCTTTCCCAGCACAGGCTGCACAGCGTGCACTCAGCTTTCAATACACAATGAATGGGGATGGCTTTTTAATCACGTCAACCGCGGTAATGACGGCACGTGTTTCAGTATTTTATACTGGTATATTGGTCACACCGGTGTACAAGACGTAGCCAACTTTTAAGACGAAAAATAGGTATTAAAAGTGCGTCTTATACACCGGATTTTACGGTACATCTTAACAATATGACATGCAAGAAAACAGAATTCTTATCCCTTAAGATTCAAGCTTTTTAGGTAGCTATTGTAATTTGACATACCTGCTGCGACTGCGGCTGAAGCTCCTCCTGCGTGGGGATCTGCGCAGGGAAAATACAGACACGTTAAGAACAAACACAGGGAAACTGATCCCCCGTAGAGCTCCACACTGTTTTTAATCCTTTTCTTAAACGGGCCTCCTTCAACACAGCCCTTTGTCTATCTCAGCAACCCAAAAATTAAAAGACCTGAGTGGATTTCAGGAACATAATCATCTTAATAAGACAAAGAAAACATCTAACTTGCAATGGACAGAGTGCATAAAGATGGAATGTGTTTAGGAACCATTACTCACCTATCCCACATTGCCTTAGGCATCTCTTAATAAATGTACCCGTGCAAAGTGGTAGAGAAGAATGTGCTCTATGGTTAGTGTGAAAAACTTTCATGGCGCCTCAGCATTAAAGCTTATGAAATAATCAAAGGGAGCTCATAAGCAAACTCTGGCCCTCCATTTAGTTGATTATACTGTGCTATGAACTAGTGTGGGAATACACTCAGAGGCCACCATCTGTATGAAACTTGTCCACTGCACTTAAGGAATAAAAAGCTAGAAACAAAAATGTATTGGTCACTGAGTATAAGTCTTATAATCTGCTATAACCAACCATACAGCACAAAAAGGAGAGAAAAAAAACACCTTTTGATATTCAGTGGGGGGTTGAGAGGAGGTTTGATTTGTATGGCTTTATTATTCTGCTCAGAGCCCCAAAAGACATACTAAATGTTTGTTTATAAACGAAATCTCAAGTCTGGTGCAAATAATTTAAAAGAATAACCTTTTGAAACCACCTGTCTCTTCACTTTCATAACTGATATCAGCAGTGTACTGAATGAAGCAGGAAAACTTACTAGTATTTTTGGTTTTCAACAAGCTAGATATGACGAAAGGGAGGCAGACTGTCGGCCGGGTAGGTAGAATTGGCTGAATAGGACTGGCCAGATGCTGCAAGGTGATTAGGTGGCAGGCAGATGGGGGCTGGCTGTGGCTTTTTTCCTGCTTTAATTGGTTAGCCGAAGGCTGCTGTTGGTAGGTTGTAGACATTTGAGTACGTAATACGCTGATTGGTCGGGAATGAGAGGTGGGCCGCTGCCGTTTGGGTTTAGGCTGAAGGAGGAGGAGGTTGAGTAGGGCATGCTGAGGAACCAATGGGTTGGTGCAACCTGACGACTGGCCATGCCTTGGTCATGTGACAGCACCAGCCAAGCTGATTGGGGCACGATGGTCAGCAGTCACATGATGCTGAAAGAGGACTAGTTGATTGACTCAGAGGGTGGTGAGAAGAGGCATGGTGGTGGCTCTGCAACGGGTTTCATTCTTATTAATATAGATGAAAAATAAAAAGCATCCTCAAACAAAACGAAAAAATTCATCACATTTGGCACTTAAATCCCCCCCAAAAGTTAAGTTAACAGTTTCTTCCAACATTGGAAGACTTCTGCCATTTAAGAGCAGGTAAAATATTAACACATTGAATGTGTACCTAAAAATGTCCCCTTAGAAGAAATAATTAGTGCCTGAAGAAGATGTTTGAGTCTTGCAGTTCAGATTTTAAGATGCATTTCAAGTAGAAATGCTGCACTAGATACCTGGTCAAATTTTGTTTTTCAGATTTTGGTTATGAACCAGTTCAGCTACCTGCACAAGATAGATATATATATATATATATATATATATATATATATATACACACACACACACACACACACACACATACATATATACACACACACACACACACACACATATATAAGCATTAGGAATAGTAACAATCACAAGTGTATACTAAATCGAGAAGACTAACACTATACCAAGACTGGAGAAACATAAGCAATTCTCTAATACTGTGGATCGGAGGATGGAATCAGTAAGTCACAGAAATGTATAAATCACAAGATGTGTCTCTACTGGCCAATGCAAAATAAACTCATGTGTCACCTTCGCCTTGCTGGAGGGCTCCGCCGCCTGTAGTCATCTCGGTCTCCTCGAGGACGTCTGCTCCACGAAGGGGGAGCGCCTCTGGTTCGGCTGCGTTTCTCACCGTTTGACAGCTCTACTCTTACCCGGCAACCACACAAATTGCTACAAAACAAGCAGACCCCTTTTTTAAAATCACTGTACCTTTAGTGCTATGAGTGATTCATTTGAATGCTTATTGACATGTTTAGTCGTTGGTTGAGATTTTAGCCTACCGTCCATCGAGCTCACGCACTGCATCAGTTGCATCTCTTGGATCTTCAAACTCTACAAAGGCAAAACCAGGAGGGTTTCTGGCCACCCAAACACTTCGGAGAGGACCATAGTAGCCAAACGACCTCTCCAACTCTGTTTTGTTCCCATTGTTGCCCAGATTTCCAACATAGACCTTGCAGTCAAGCGGACAGTCACGATGCATGACGGATCCTGCAAAATGATGAACAAAGAAAGGAAATTGGTTATTAACTCAGATAATAATGGGAAAACATAATGCTTCCATATCTACAGCTGGAATTGTGTAAGTTAGGTTCATACACCACATTTTTATTCAAAGATTAAGCAACCAAATGGATGCATGAGACAATAAAACTGATTATCCTATAATGATTTAGTCTTTTTGAAATGCTTCAGAACTGAAAAGGGGTCTTTGGCCGACATGTCTGTTTGACTAGCAGGCTAACGTTGTGCTAACCATGTCCTTGTAACATGTGTTTTATAGTATTCATATACTATACATCAGCCCCTAGGTATGTTTAAAAATACTGTTATACTATTATTTATCTGTACGCTAACACTGTACCAATATCGTGTTTTTGAATTAAATGTTTTCGTGCTCAAACTTTGATTCGACACCTTGAAGCTAATGTAGCTAACGGCAGCTAAAATGGCTGTCGCATCCTGAGGCCTAGTGTTCAGTAGCAGCATTTGGCTAACACACACATATCAAACAATATAGACAAAGGCACACAGCACCACGATTATTGAATTTAAACATGTGATTCTTCCACAGTTCTACAACGAATCACAAACATGAAATGTGTTCCAGCATACCTCTTTTCTTATACAATCACAGTTGAGACAGGACGCACTTCCCTCGCTGGTTTGTTCCTCTCGGTCGTCGAAGGAAAATGGCGTGACGGCAAATAAGCCACCTTTGTCAGTGGGAAAACCAGGTCGCTGCTCCCGGGAGGGCGGGGTTAGTGAGTATCAGTGTGTATGCCTCTCTTGCCTTCTGCAAAAAGATAATTCATATCACAAGTGCTTCACGTCACCTTAATAAGTGAGAAATATTTCTGATACATTTGTGAATTTCGTTCAGAACTTTAAATGGAAGAATAGCGTGCTGAGCTGGTATTCATTATCAAACGCACACTCTAAAATGGGTGCGTTACACTGCGTTACCATCTTTGGCCACAGCATGACAGTCATTGGGTTGTGGCGCTGTTCCGACTTTGTGTGTGTGTGCGTGTGTGTGTGTGTGTGTGTGTGTGTGTGTGTGTGTGTGTGTGTGTGTGTGTGTGTGTGTGTGTTTGTTTTTTCTTCAAAAAATCTTTTACATTGTACAATCTGAAAACAGCAACAAAAAGAAGACATATAATACAAATACCGAGCAAGAATAGTTAAACAAAATTATATAATATTACAATCCAAAGTTGTAATAATACCAATAAAAAGAAACCAAATCAAAATAAAGGGCTGAAACCATCTGACTCTAGCCTATAATATAAAAACGTGTAAAACGTCTGTTAGATAGAGAGAGAGAGAGAGAGAGAGAGAGAGAGAGAGATACTTTATTGATCCCGAGGGAAATTCAAAGCATCCAGTAGCAGGTTACAAAGACGTACATGACATTAAACATTTGTTACAAATTAACCACAAAACTGACGCCCCCCTCTCATACATATATATAAACCCCCAAAAAGATTTAAATAATACCCCTAGATGAATCAAACTTAAACTGTGCAATTAAAAATAGATTTATACAAGAAATGTACATAACCTGTGCAGGGATAAAAATATATGTGACATTTAAACAAAAACCTATAAACAGTTGAGGAAAAAAATCTGTAATTACAAAAAATCTGTAATCAGACTACTAGACTGTAATTGTTGACTCATCCTGCACTCAGTGGCGTTTACTAATTATCTAAGAGCTTTGTTGAAGCGAATGCTCCAATCAAATTCATCCCAACATTATGTCCTGCCTTATTGTGATTGGTTCTATCCCGTTTCAGTAGGAAAGACACCCGACACAGCAGTTACATATTTTCAAAGTTCCTTTTATGAGGACTTTAAAACATGTTACTTTATAAAAATTGACTCTGAAAAGTAACACAACTGAGTGGAACATATAAATGTATATACTTAATTCTTTAAGGGCTTAAAAATATGTATTTCTAAAATATCTAATGAGAGGAAAAGTGCTACATTGAATTGCAAGAAAGCCACTCGCAGCCTCCAACACAGCCCAGATAGTGTATTTTTTTTTTTTTTACAGAAGTTCTCTGACAAGGCAAATCTGCAATCATTATTTTATTTCTAGGGTGGCCGCTAGGGTTGGCCAATCAGATCCCCTGGCACCCCTGGGCCAAACAATCATTATGTCCAGATTAGTTGCCACCCAAATATCAATGAAGCCAAATAGCCCAAATAGCCCTTGTTGTGTTGTATGTCTGTGTTATGTCACGTGTTTAAAGTGTGTATAGCTTGCAAGCTTAATGACACTTTGATTCAGACACTTATCTAAACTGAAGTCCAGCTAGTCTATTACCTTAAAACAAAGTTGATTGAACTATCAAAGCATTAAGTTCTGCCATTCTGACAGTACTCAAAGGCTTATTTTGGTAAGTTGTGCAGTATGCCATCAAATGCTATCCTTGCTCTTTTTACAACTGATTGTGTATACTTTCATTAGGCTACATTATCTGAAAACTATCAATTTAATGGCATGACAGATAGTTATTTGATGGCATCTTTACCCTGGTTTTTCATCCAGTTTTGTATTTCACTAACTTAATCTAAGAAAACCAACACATTGTCTGCTTTTACAAATTTGACCCTAACGCGTTCCCCAGAAGGTTACATCTGTCTATACTGTCAGATAAAAGCAATTCAATAGGTCCCTTGTGGATATTCTTTACCTAAATTATAGATTTGGTAATGGGCTGATAAACAACTCAGTTACAACTTTGTAGTGGGAAATCAATGATCTTTATCCTGAAAATAGAGCTCTAACATTAAGCATGTATATGCTAAATTACTATTAGCCTACATTTTTATGCCAATTTCATAAACTGAGCAAAAGCAGTTGCCTAATTTTCTCAAACATACTGTCCTCACCTCATCCCCTTGCAACTATTGTGGAAGATCATGGGCACTAGGATTTAAGGAGGTGCCAAATGAGGACAGGCATCTGGATGAAGGATGATCTGTTTGTCTTCTACTCATCCTATCAGAGCCTTAATGCAACCGGCTGGTTTATAACTCTAACCGTCTTTCTCTTCTTTTTAGGTCCATGTGCTTATTGCTTTGTCAGGTTGCTTGCTGTACCATTTGTAGGCTACAGAGCACAATTTCTTTCCGACCCACATGCACCCTGGAATTAAATGATGCGTATCACTAAACTGAATAGCAACAATTTGTGAATGAGCCGGGAAAAGCGTTTATTTATTAAGGCAAACGAGCTTGAACTAATGCTGAGTCTATTACGGACACGTTTCAGAACTTGCTGTGCCAGACATGGTTGTGTGTCTGATATTCTGTTTTAAGAAATAAAAAAATAAAAAAAACTTTTCCCAGAAGCATCCTGTGTCGTGACAGCCGACTTTTAATGGAGTGAAGTTATGTTTATTTCAAAAGCTCGAGTCAGTATAAGAGAGCATGCGTGCTGAATGAGGATTCCAATGAGCTTAATGCTGCGTTCATAACTACTGGGGATTGCCTGTTTTATCTCTGCATAGGTGCCCCAGGCCAAAAAACACTGCAGGGTTTCACGCTTCTCCACTAACATAGCCTACTTTATTCAATATCACTACGGGTTTTTCCCCATAGACACCAGTTTTGACGAGTTTTCCACGGTTGAACTGAATGCGGACTAAGCATGATGTCATCGAAAAATAAGTTTACTTTTACTTTAAACTTCAAGTGAGGAAGACGTGTCTTCCAGGGAAAACATATTCTCAGTCTTTTTTACGACAATTTACTAGAACAGTAGGCGTATTGTAACCTATCATGTGTGCGTTAACAGTAAGAAAGCCTAGGCTACTCAACGGACTACCAAAACTGCTTGCACAGCAGATAATATGCCTATTATTAACGCTACATTATTGTACACTACATTTGGGCAAGAACAGTCACATCAGGGCACAATCATAGACTGTAAATATTAGGGCACAATAATCCAGATGTCCAATTTCCCGTGAACGCAGCAGGTCATATGGAACGCCCCCTGTCTGTCGGTGGTCGGTTACCGCCTCCAAAGTAACTCAGCCAGGTGACGGCTGAGCTAAGCAGGGACTCGACACAGCGTCACTCCGCGCACCATAACAGACATTTATGACAAACATTAGTCAGTCAGTTACTAAATTATCGCGGCAGCTCTCTGTTTTTCAGGGTTTTCAGTTTCCCGTTCAAAGCTCTTCCGCCTGTTGTCGCCTGCAAGCAGAGAGGACATCATTAAAGTGTGTGACGTTGCTGTCATAGCAGACCCGACAAGTTATTGAATATTAGACCAGGTACGTTTAAAAAAGACACCATCAATATGTCAGAATCGGAAGGAGATGCTAAGTTGGAGGTGGTGAAGCAGGCAAGCAAAGATGTGAAAGAAAGCGAAAACGTAGCGGAAAAATATTCAGCCATGACCGTAAGCAAGAATAGTGAAATGAACATGGGAGAGCTGTCGTCCGCCTTCAGCGCTGTGCCCACTCACAAGCCGGTGAAGAAGGTAAGACCACTGAACAAAACACTGTGCAATTGAATTTAACCACACTCTGGTCAATGCAAGCGAGGGCTTTCGTTGTGCACCTCAATGCGCATCAATTAGCCTATTGTCGATAGTTTTTAATGTTAGCATGTTATAGGCTATATGTCTATATTACCAATCCTGCATTATTCAAAACGTAGGCTATTTATTTATTTCCTCAAGGTTGTGAGAGAGGAGAGACATTTTGAGCAGGCAGGTTGCACTCGAAGTGTAATAAAGCAATAGGAGATTATCTATGAATAGCCACATGTGTCATATTACTATTGTCCAAATGAGTATTCATATAAAGCAGTTCCATTTCTCTTACAGTTTGTTCTCCGAGGTCAATCAGTTTCATATAGGCTAGGCTATATGCTTGATTTCCTAACTTTGTCCATCTCAAGGAAACAGAAGGATTTCCTTCTTGTAACTCTAACAAAAGAACAATGTTTACGCACACCTTCAAGGAACAAGGAAGAATTTCACCTTGAGTTCCTGGGGATTTAAAAACTAAATGCATTGGCACACCTCATTTCAGTTGGACTGATGAACACAGGTTTCGGACAAAATGAAAACATCTGATCTAGTAATAGAAACATCTTTTTGATAAGTTTTACACAATTCAACAGCAGCACAAACAAACCTTTAAAGTGAGCACAGTTGGATCAACACGTCACTAAAGACATCTTCTGCAGAGCTACACATTAAAAACCTGACATCATTATTTATTGCTGGGCTTTTGAGTTTGACTCCATTATTATTTAAAAGGTGTTCCTATACTGACCGCTAAGTGAATCTGTGTGTTTGAATCCGTCAACACCCTCATCTTAACAATTTATTCAGCCTGGTTGCCTCATTATGAATTTCTTTTTTCTCTCTTTGTGAAGAGATATAACTATAAAAATGTGACATTTTCAAAACTTTTTTATTGAAAACTTTTAATTTGAAATGTGATTCAAATCCTCAGATATAGATGCAAGCTTTAGGTCACATTTGTTAAGGGTGATTAACAATAGATGTCATCAAGAACCCATAAATAACACAGGTCATAGTATTACATCATTTACAAGTTATTTTGTATAACCCTGATAGGAATAAAGCCTACAAATCATCAGTGTGGATTTCATCATAGACATAATGAGGGGTTATAAATAGTGTGCTTCTCTTCAGCGCACTAACAGAATAAATGTGAAATAA